AATCTGGCGGAGTAGAAGGTGGAGTCGCCTCACCTTCCGCGGAGCTCAGTTTCCCGAGCTGAGGCGGGGTCGCACATCCTCCTTGCCCTGATCTTGGCACAGGGAGGTCTTGTGCTTGGTGCTATTGTACCAGTAGCAGCTGCCATAGCGGCCGCAGACCTTGTACTCCGCCTCGGTCAAGCCAAACTTGACCCATGGAAATTGTCTTGGATGTCCATATCCGGCCTGCGATGCGGATTTCGCCTTCCCATTGTTGCGGGACTTGTTGTTGCTTCGCGGCTGGACAGCAGCCACCTGATCTCCGTCACTTGATGCTGGAGTGGCTGCTGGATTATCTCCACTGTCCTGCTGGACTGCAGCGAAGTGCTGCTGTCGCGGACCAGTTCGTACCTTCTCCACATAGGCCGGCTGCCATGGTGACTTCTCGTGTGCAGCTGACCTGTTGGTCTTGATGATCTCTCTCACCTTGTCGATAATCTCGACGAAAGTGGAGTACTGCTCGCGATCACCAAGAGTCTGGCTCAATGCAGCGCAGGATCTGTTGTAGAACTCACGTCTGAGATGAGTGAAAGGCAGGTCCAGATTGGGCACTGCCGCAATCTTCTGCCACTCCGTGAGCCAGTCCCGTGTTGCAGTGTTGCCCTGTGACATGGTGAACAGACGGTTGATGGCGAGTGTCGGCGCGTCGTCGACGATGAACCGCTTCTTCCACAGCCGTGTCAGTTCCTCCCATGTGATTTGGTCCTTCAAGTCTGGTACGTCGACGCCGTGGGAGGTTGCCAGGTGGCTCAACCAGGTCTGGCATCCGCCCTTTGAGTTCAGGAACAGGGCGCCGATGTACGCATGCTTGGCTACCGGCAGAATCCTGAGTTGCATTGTGAATGCTTCCCACCAGAGGACCGGATCCTGCTGCGTGTAGTCGTCGAACCTCTCCAGATTGAAAGTTGGCATCTTATACATTTTCAGATTGCCATCCGCGTTCGTCGTCTGCAGCTGCTGGACCTCGGTCTTCAATGTTTGCAGCTGACTGCTGATGGTGGTGGTCGGCGCAGCGAAAGTGTTGATGTCGCCGAGCATTGCCACTACGTGGTCAACGCGGTACTCCAGTTGGCGGCTAGAGGGTGCACTGCTGGAAGCCCCAGCAGCTGGTCCCGGTACAGCCTGTTCCAGGTCCAACAATCGGGCATTGAGTGCCCGAGTTGCATCCTCGTGGCTCTGCACTATGCGGCGGAGCTGTGCCAACTCCTGATGCTGTTGCGTCAGGTCCTGGTATTGTCTCTCCAACTCTGACCGTTGGTAGTTGCAAGCATACAACAACCGCGTCACGAGTTTGGAGAGGAACTCCTTGTGCTTCTCTTCCGGTGTTGCCTCGTCGCCGTTCGGTTCAAAATGCCAGTACTTGAGTCTGTCGATGCTGTTGGCTTCATGCCGCTGCAGCAGATCCTGGGCTTTCTTGCGGCGAGCCTGGGCATCTGCGTCTGCATCGGCCTGTAGCTGCAGTTGTTCTGCTGCTGCTGCCTCTTCAGCCTGTACGCGGGCAGCCTCGGCTGCCAGCTGGCGTTGTTCCTCAGCCTCGATCTGAGCCTGGAACCGCTGCTTGTAGGCTGCAAGGGACTCGTTGGGCAGTTGCCCTGGCAGGCCCGTCATGTTGCTGACGTGGCACTTTGTCTGACGTGGCACTGTGTGTGAGGTGGCACTGCTGATGTGGCACTGTGTCTGACGTGGCACTGCTGATGTGGCACTGCTTACGTGGCACTGTCTGACGTGGCA